CCTAGGCATTTCCTCCGAACGCCCATTCAACGCCTGCGGGCCGGCAGATATCCGGTACTACCGCGCCGACACGGGCACATCGAACCAGATCTCGCTGAAAGCGGGCATCGTGGACAAAGTTGAGGAAGTCGGGACATCGTACGAGCCAGACGAGCCGGGACACCACGACCGGCAACGCGCTTATCTATCCGAGATCAAGCGGTTCTGGGAGGATTCCACAGCGTCCATCAGCTCGCCGTATTTCGCGGAGCAGGCCGCCGTCGCGCTGGCCAAGATTCCAGTCGGTGACGTCGAAACGAGCCTCGCTTCCAACGCGTTCACGCGGGCTTCGTCCGTCACGATCGACGGGTACAAGAGGACTATCGAGGCTTTATTCCCTGCTGAAGGCGACGCCGCGGCAGCACAGGAGGAGGGCGGGGGGCAGCAGGAGCCCAAACAGGCGTCATCCGGCCCCGACGTGCCGTACATCGCGTCTATGGTGCGCATGGCCCGGCGAAGACCGTTCCGGTCACATAACGGCTACGTCGGCCTTGGACCAGCGGATCTCGCGGTAGGGGATACAGTGGGTATCCCATACGGCTCGCCTGTTCCGTTCGCGTTTCGCCGTGCCAGCGAGGGTGAAGGCGAGGACGCGGTATATCGCTTGGTGGGCGAGGTATATGTCTTTGGGATCATGGACGGCGAGTTTATGAAGGTGCATAGACAGGAGACGGTATTACGCATTGTATAGAACGGACAAAACAAACAAATAAACGAAGGAAGTCATTGGTATTGGTACATCAGGTTCAAGGTTGTTATACTGCCCGGAGACCAGGTTTTATAGTCTTTCTCTTTTTCTTTTCATAGCAAAACGGTGCTTAAGTAATTAGACTTGACATTTCTAGGTTATCTATCTCCCTAGGCTGGGATACAATAGAATTATATATACCCTCGACACTAACCTAGTACCTATCCCCGATCCCCGACTCTTTACGTAAATCGAGATTCTTGACCTCAAGATTTGGACGTCATCGCAGCGCTACTTGCTGGTCTTGGAATCTCACCAACTTGCGATCTAACGCGGACACGAACTCCGCCGTGTTAACTACTCGCGATTCCTAGTACTGCTGACAGTTTTCAAATGAAACTAGAGCGTCGACACGGTCTCGCTGATGGAAGTGTGTGCGCCGGTTCCATGCCCGGCCCGATGATCGACTGCCACTCAGCTTAGCGATAGAAGGACGGTTCGGTTTCACTGCATCTGTCTTATTCAGGACCTGGATCCAGGACCTGGCTGGGGTGGACGATCACTGCTTTTTTAGCCCAGCTCCAAGTGAGTTGAGGGAGGCGGCCAAGACGAAAACCGGGCTCCAGGGTTCCCGAGCTGAAATGCACTGCTTTTTTAGCCCAGCTCCGGGTGCGTTGAGGGAGGTTATACTACTGCATCCGGGTACTATTGACCCGCCCCCATCGTCCTTCCTTTTACCTACAAAACTTTCCTAATCTCTGGCATTGCTTTTTTAGCCCAGCTCCAGGAGGTGTCCAATTACGAATAAATATAAGAAGAAAAAAGACAGGTCACGTTGCCTTGCGGAATATGCCTATTTATGGGCGAAATACGACTGAATTGGAAGCCATACAGCACCGGAGTATGCAAGCAATTGTAGGAATATGGTGCTCGGGGTAACGATGAAAGGTAATCAGGCGGCCAAATCCCTCTTTCGAGCTCTCTAGGGATAGAGATCATGGTAGCATGATATGAGGAGTACCTATCGCAAACATACAACGGGATTATAAAATGCTTGTCCTTTTCTTTTGTGTGAATGAACGACTACTTATATAGCCTAAGCAATGAACCTCCGGCAACTATTTCGGCGGAGTAAGTGTTTTGGATGCCAAGCACTACAAGCTTGCGAAACTCATCTGAAACTACCTACCCGCTTGAATCGAAACTTCCCAAAACATCGTGACATGCTCTGTCTCCTATCTCTGATTACTGATTTGGTATTTAATACTGATGTGAGTCTAGTGCGCAGGATACGGACAAGCCCGGGGTGACGCGTATCGACATTAGGTATCACGAAGCGCTGTCACAGACCCTGTAGGCAAGTCTGGTAGATAAAACAGAGTTTTTGTAGGGCACAAGGGTACAGAGCCCCGGTAACAAGGATTATGGGTTCCTGCCTCACGAACAGAGCGATACCTACATCGGGGCCTTGTGCTAGGTGTTTCTCATGTTGGTTCAAATGTGTGTCACAGTGGCGGGGTATAAGACGCAGTTGTCGCCGGTAAACACTGCAATTGACAATGGTTGAAAAACTTACTGTTGTTAGCCGCATAGCATTATTACTTACCTCTTAGCCTTGATCGACAAGAGGATTTGCACTGCCAATCAAGATGGACCTAAGAAGACCTCAATATCAGACGGTCCCGGCTACCGACGACCAGGAAAAACTGCTTTCGGCTGTACGAATACCCGAGTCGACCGCGGACGAATGGCAAACATCGGATTCGGGCTCAGATAACGCGACGAAGAGATGGACCTTTATCTCATGGGTAAAACCTTACCTATGGTTCATCGATACCGCGCTCTTACTACTTGTCGCGAGTCTACTGCTCGTGTTGATACGAGACGAGCGCAGAGTCTCTGCGCAACGCAGCTCCTGGCAAGTCGGGGGTGATTCCTCGGGGACCGGGCCAGAATGTAAGCGGGCGCCTTTTCCGCGCTTACGTAGAAGAAAGCGAACGTTAACAATATCCGTACAGTTTCGACGCAAGTCGTGAAATGGGAAGCCGACGCCTCTTTCGTGCCGGAGAACACGACAGAATTCTTCTCAGAAGACACACTAGGCCGGTGGAAAACGCTGATGCCGGGTATGTACGCGACGGGGGCGCATTCGAACCGGGGATCCAAGTGACTGTGTAATGAAGCTGACGAACAGGGAATGAAAGCCGGAACAGGGTTCGGAGCGAAGGGTGAATCGTTCTCGACGACGTCGATGACGCACCAATTACACTGTCTGTTCATGATGGGAAGGATCTACGCTGGCGTGACGGCCGGCACGACGGACTCGCTCCCGACGGATTATCACGCGCATTTCCTGCATTGCATCGATTATCTGCGGCAGGCGGTCATGTGCTCCGCGGACATGGCGCTCGAGCTTCACGATCCGAGCGATGCGGATGACCTAGGTCCTCAGGATGGTGGGTGGAATGGATACCACGGTAAGAGATACGAGGAATACATGTTTGGATATATGTGAGATGCTAACGAGCATATTATAGTGTGTAAGGATTACACCCAGGTTCTGGGGTACTTGGAAGGTAAGCGGAGTATATCATCGAGTTGCTGTTGTGAGTATGCACTAACGAGATCGCTAGACCAGATAGCAGAGGGTGTTCGCATCATCCTACCTATTGATGACTAGATATTTGTGAAGATAGAATCATATACTATAGTAGGAGCGCCGCGACAAGTCGGTTCCTAAAGAAGATGTACGCACCATAGTAGTTGTTACTCCCAGTAACGCGTGAAAGTGCATCAAATACAGCGCGGTCTGATTATTTTCAGTAGCAACCCCACAGCAGGTGGGGCTATCGCTATGATAGGCAACATGAGCTCATCACAACATCGTAAAATCAAATCAGCATCAGTGGTTTAGTGGTAAAATCCATCGTTGCCATCGATGGGCCCCGTGTTCGATTCACGGCTGATGCATATGAATCTCTTTTTTTTCTCAAGTCTATATCAATTTCGCTAGGAACCCTTCATCTCCTCTCACTCTCTTTTTCTTTGAAGTATGAAGAAGATTAGGCTACAAGTAAGGATTGGGCCTTCTTGCGTACATGATGACTCTTGTCCCTCTGCTTTGCCTAGGTAGTAAGACAGCCCTATGCCTCTGCATGTACAAGATAGATAGATAGATCACTTACACCGATATTAGCTTGTTCATTCAATCCCAACAGCTCCCAGATGGCGCAAAGCCTGTTTGTGAGTAGACCTCTTGTTTTTAAACAATGCCTTTGTTAAACACAACATCGACTCTCACTCAATTAGGATAAATGCGGACGACGTCACAAAAAATCCGACCGTTCTTTGTAGGTTCTCATCTACCTACCTACGCACACACCATTGTCGAGATGTCGGCTCCTCCCCCCACAATCGAACAATTGATCGAAGGTATACAAAAGTCGTTTCAGCTAACACCTGAAGACAATGAGTTGTGCGATGTTTTCGCCAGTATGCTAAAAATCAGCGATACCATCACGGTAAGTGATTATCCATATCCTGAGATGCTTCTCCCTCCACTAACTATGCGCATCCAGGCAAACACGCCTGTGGGGTATAATTCTGCCCAAGCATCTCCTCAGACGAATATTCCTATGCTGGCTATGCCTACCGAGACAGACACATCCGCAGTGTATAATTCCGCCTAGGAGGATCAAATAAAGTTATCTCATAGTGCCCTTGAACAAATGGCCTCACAGCAGATAAATTCTCCTGTAGCGGATGGTCTGACTGAAGTAGATATTGATATGATCTCACTGGATGACTTCGACGATGCAGAATATATCGCCTCAATCGCACGCATCTATTGGCCAAACGATGTTCAGTCAATAAATCCAACGCCCGCTCCTTCACCAAGCCGAAGAAGACGAACAAGAAGGCCACGACGCAGGTCAAGATCCCGGGGGAAGGATAAAAGAGAGAGGAAAGGGCGTGGGAAAGAGCCAATGCGAAGGGAGTATTTGCAACGAAACGATTTTCGTGGCCTATACCTTCGAGACGCTTTTAAGGTATACTGGTGCTGGGCCCACACCAGTATTCTCGATTATGAGGCTGCAAAGCGCCGCAAACCCCCGGTCCCAAAAGACCGAGAGGGCATGATGAGATTTGCTCGAATGTACGATATCCCGATGAATCCCTTTCTCTAGGCCCGTCTTTAACAGCCATGAAATTCGCTTGATATCTATGTAAGTAAATGTTAGATCAAAGAAAAAAAAAAGTTAAAATAATAAAATGCCCACTACTGGAGTCGAACCAGTTGCCTCCTCATCACTTCTAGGTTGTATCCTATACTAGTGAGGCGCTCTACCGGTGAGCCAAGCGGGCTTTGATGAGTATTTTGCGGGGTATGACGGTATATATTATTAGCGGATGACGATCGACTATTAGCCATACCGATTACACCATACCATCCATGAAACCTGAAGTACAAATCAAAAATGAGTGCCTTCACTCGGTTTTAATTTTGAAAATAATCATTTGAGTGCTTAGATATATAGTAGCAGTACAGAATAAGATACGGCTGATAGAATTATAATAACTTGATCAAAGTGCGCGAGTGACTTATTATTAAGGCGTGTGTGCGTGACAATTCTAAAATGGATAGGTAGAAGAGGAGAAATAGCAACTTCATAATTCATTCCTAGTTCCGATCCCTATTCCCAATATTCTTTGCCTTCCCCTTTCCCTTCCCCTTTCCCTTCCCCTTTCCCTTCCCTTTTCCCTTCTCCTCTTTTAAAAACAACTGATCCCGTCGTGCATTCCTCCCAATTCCCCGTCTCACGACACCAGCAACAGGTAGAGCGAGTCGAGGCCCTTGTATATGTATGTCGAAAGGCGAAAAGCAGCAGGAGGATGCATGCGTTATGAATAGAAAAGGGTAGGGCCAACTCTCTTCACTAGGATTGTTTCATCCGATTACCAACGCCGCAGTCGGCGCAGAGTTTAGTTGGTAACACGGTTATCCTAACTATACGCGCGGCTGGATTATGAGATGCAGCTTTAAACGAGCTATCTAATCGTCGCAGGTCTTGAGGATTACTACTCTCTGCTAAGCGTTAATTAATTATGCTAGCCTAGTTATTTCACGGGATATTGGCATGAAAAGAGGTAATATCATCGTAGATATCGTCCCATCTTCAGCGACACTGTCACTACAAGAGTAACTAGTTTCGTAGCAATACAGTCAAATAGCTAGAGCCTAGCGATCATTATTGATTTCAACCGGATTCGGGTTCTTGAATTATTACGGCACGTGTCTATCAATCAGCCTGTCGAAAGACGTCGCCAAGTTATATGAACTATACTATGTTCCTCACATCAAGTTTTATGTTACAGCCTACCAGCAATTCATAGTGACAGCAGTCAATTCTCATACATTTCCTCCCTTTTCCGCATTTCCTTTCTACCCCAACGCCAGAATAAACACGAGCATTAAAAATGTGTAGACAGACATAAGCGCGTCTATCGCTCAGCCAGGTAAACCAATGGGCACTGCCACCAAAAGCATCAAAATTAGAGTGCCTTTATAGCAGCAAAGAAAGGGTTAGCAAGGAGCTTCTCATCAGCCATAACAAGCTCTCGCATGCGCCCAATCATCTCCTCATTGCTCATCTGGCCTGCTTTGACATCAGCCTTCCATTTCACGAGGACCTCTTTGAGCCTCGCGCTGCCTTCTTCGACGTCCTGCTTGTTATATTTCAGTCCCAGTCCGTCCTCGTGCTTAGAGGTGAAGTCTTCGAGCTCATCAGCTTTTCGTTTCGCCATGCGTACGACCTTATCCGGGAAGCGCACGAGCTCCGCGACATGGATACCGAAGGACTGGTCACAGATGCCGGGCTCAACCTTATATAAGAGTGTGACCTCACGCTTGGCGTCAGGGGCCGGTGTGCTACTGGACGCGGAGCCTGAAATGTGCGCTGTCACATGTAGGTTGCGCACCTGGGTATACTGGTCGGCGAGCGCTGTGAGTTCGTGGAAATGTGTAGCGAAAGTGGCGAAGCAGCCGATCTCTTTCACGATGTGCTCCGAGATGGCCCATGCCAGACCAAACCCATCGTATGTAGAAGTGCCACGACCTAATTCATCGATAATGATCAAGGATTCGTTTGTTGCCGACTTAAGGATGTTGGCTGTCTCGAGCATTTCCGCCATAAACGTAGAGACTCCTTTTAGCTGTGAATCACTCGCGCCGACTCGGGCGAGAATAGAGTCAAAGATGGTGAGTTCGGCCTCGGAGCAAGGGACGAAACAGCCTATCTGCGCCATGAGAGCGATAACACCAATCTGGCGGATATATGTCGATTTACCTCCCATATTCGGCCCCGTGATGATTAAAAATGATGATTCGCCTCGCTTCATCTCAACGTCGTTTGTGATGAACTGTATGTCATCTTGCATTTCCATGCATGGATGGCGAGCTTCCTTTAGAATAGTTGATCCTTGACCCCGAGCGTGAATAGTCGGCCGAACATAAGAGGTAGGGGCATGAACTGAGCAGTGAGCGAAAGAGATGATGACATCGAGGTGGGCTAATACACCGGCGAGCTGCTCCAACACCGGGCAGTACGAGGCCGCGACACCGACAACCTCGTTGACTAGGCTGCTCTGAGTTCGATTATACGTCTGAGATAACTGGTCGAACTCTCGGCGGTAGCTTTGCAACGACTTCGTCGTAAAATAAACCCCATTCTTCTGAGTAGAACATTCTTGATATCTCGAGTTGTTGCGAATGCACCCAGCTTCCGTTCTCGTCAGTCGCATGCACCAACCATGGACCTTGTGGTTTTCCAAGAATATTTTCTTGTTCTCTTCTTGGTTTAAGTCGTCTGCGGCGTTGCGAAATTCTTTGTCCATATCGGCCCGAAGCCTATCCAGCTTTCTTCGGACAATCCGCAGACCGTCGTCGAATTCTGGCTTGATAATAAATTCGTGGTTATCGAGAGCGTCGAGATCCACTGTCGTCTCAACCATCTCGGCTAGTTTCCCTAGGCTATCACTGAGGTTCTTTAATTTGTTCGTGTATGCGTCATCCAGCGGATCTTTATAGACCTCGTCCATGACCCCTTCTAGAGTGCCCAGAAACCCAGGTAACCGAATGACGACCTGGTAAGCTCTCACGACATCTTCGAGATTGGCTTTATTGCGCTGAAACCGCTTGGACAGACGGTAGAGATCTGGCACAGACCTGAGGTGCTCTTCTTGCATGGTTTGCCGTAGCTCCGTGTCATTGACAAATGCCTCGACTAGCTGCTGCCGTTTTTCAATCTCTTCCTTACTCATAAGTGGCTGCTTTAGCCACTGCGATAATAACCGACTTCCGAGCGGGGTTTTGCAGTGGTTGAGCAATCCGAATAAGCTCATATTCTTTGACCCGTCGCGTGGACCAGGCATCAAGTTCAGGGCTTTCAATGCGGCCGCGTCTAGCTTCATGAATTGAGACAGATCATGTTGATATAATTGATATTGCCCAAAGTTGCCAGGATCCTGTAGGACGCTGAGATATTTGATCAAGGCCGCAGCGGAGCCCATAGCCAGCTTGAGATCTGTCTGGGGGAGCATGGTAGCGGACCGCTCATCCTTCAGTAGCCGCGCTAGATCTTGTTCGATATCTTTGGTGCCGAAGTCACCGGCCGGCCGCTCTGCCATGGCAATTCCACAATTATCAATGATGTGATGAAGTTTAGCTAATTCGGGATCCTTATCCTTTTCGGCCTTGTCGAACTGGATTAGACATTCCTTGACGCCGAGCTGAATGAGGAGGGACTCGAAATTGGAGTATAGGTCATTGTCGAGAAATTCGCTGACACCCAGCTCCCTGACACTAGCATCGGCGAAACAGACTCCTACGCTCCTAGCCTCTGAGGCCTTGGCGGAGATCTTGACGGCTAGGATCATGGGTGCCGCGTCGAACTGACCACCCAGCTCATCCTCGACATCTTGTAGATTGCCGGGCGATGCCTGCTTGACGATCTTCCAATTCATGCGGGCGCCTGTGTTGGCAAATATCTCGACTCGTTTACCGAGCTTGAAGAGGGCCTCTCGAAGGAACTGTCGGAAAACGGTGACGGTCATGGTGACGGAAGGTAGACCGCTAGAATCGTTCCGGCCGAGTTGTCGTACTACCGAGGTGGTCTTGTAGACCTGTGGGTAGTGTTAGTATAACTGTAAATGATGTAAGGAGGGTTCAGGTTGTCTTACCGAACGGGCGATGAAGTTGGCATCTTCACCATGAGCTGTATACCAGTCACCTCGGTCGAAGATACGTACGGTTTCTTCGCCGACAGATGGGAGTGATTTGAAGTATCGAATGAAACCATGTTCGTCGTCAACCTTCAATTCTGGTCTTGACGACATGATGAGAGGTGAACGGACGGTGTAAGAATTAAGAAAAAGATAAAAACGAAAACAGTGCACGTAAAACAACAGGAACAGCCTCGAATATCTTGTAATATCTCACTGCATTCCTCAAGGCAAAACTGCGTGTGTGGGGAGCCTCATGAGTGTAACTTAGGCTGATGCTATTGGACTTGGTAGCTCTTCATGAATGATGGGATACTTAGTAAGATATATCGTGTCGCGCGTCGTGGAAATCAATTAAAGCTGGAAGACGCGACTGAACGCGCTAGTACTAGCCTACCTACACTAGCTCCGTAGCTTAATCAAGTACCTAGGTACTGGTACTTGCCCTGACTGGACAGGTGGGTCCCTACAGGCAGTACGTACACTACAGCGCGGGGTTTTACTGCTCCACGCCCTAAAAATGAGACCACGGCGGGGCAGCAATCCGATCAAGCTGCAGGTACCTAACCTCAAGTTCCAAAGTACAAAATTTGACTTTATTATTTGACTCTACTAATTCATTTGTCAATCTCGTTACGAGCTGTCGCTTGAAGCCCCAACCATTATAACTGCCGCTATTTTTATAACATATAACACACGTTTATGGGTTAGGTATATCGTTAAGGGTCTATTGAATATACCTATTGAATATACTACAATCTACACCAAAATGGAAGGGTCTGAAGCTACTATCCACAAGGTCGAGCTAGATGGCCAGGTCGATACAAGCAATGCATCTAACCGACAACGAGGTGTGAAGCGGCCCGCTCAACATGGCCTTTCTAGCGATGACGACTATGGCGACCACGACGACGATCGAACACCCCGCGATACAGAACTTTCTCCGCCCCGAGGCGCGTCCGGCGAAGCCACCCCCATCTCCAAAAATCAGTTGAAGAAGTTGAAGAGACAGCAGCGATGGGAAGATGGAAAAGAAGGGAGGCGACAGAAGCGAAGAGACAAGCGCCACCAACGCCAATCCCGGA